CACTGTCCAGCTTTCACATGCATATGAGGTTATTGAAAATACCATGGTTTGGGTCAGGCGCACCTTAGTCCTCAAGCTGACATCTTTGCTCTTTAACACTTTCAAAAGGTCTTGTGCAGCAGATTTGCCTAATGCAATACGTTGTCTGATCTCTTGACTGCTGTTTCCATGAGTGTTGATAGTTGATCCAAGAAGAATGAAGTCCTTGACAACTTTGGCACAGCAAAAGACTTCTACAATGAAAAGTTGTGGCAATGATGACTCCACTTCTGCCATTGGCTTGGCAAGACTACAAATGTAGTGGCATGCTGGGCATAACAGACATGCACTATGAACAAGCCAAGCTACCACCTGAGCATGTAGACAGAGGGGCTTAGTCTACAAAGGCTTATTATACAAGTCTTTCTACTCCTTCAGCTCAAAGCTTCTTTAATCAAGTATGAAATAATAAAAAGCTGTTCCAAATTCAAGTATTAAATAATATGTAGCTGACCTAAGTAAAGGGACACTAACTACTAGTCCTGATGTGGCCCTCTGGGCTAATGCATCAGACTGCAAAGTAATTTGAACTGCAAGGTCGGTGGCTCAAGCTCACCAGCTGCTCCTTGGAAACCCTATACAGGGTCGCTATGGGTCGGAATTGACTTGATGGCACTTAACAACAACTACTAGTACAACTTGTTGTTTTTAGGTGCCATCGAGTTGGTACCGACTCATAGTGACCCTATGCACAACAGAACAAAACACTGTCCAATCCTAAGCCAACCTCACAATTGTTGACACGGTTGAGCCCATTGATGCTGCCACTTTGTCAATCTATCTCTCTAGGGGTCTTCTTCTTTTTCTCTGATGCTCCCCCTTACCAACATGATATCCTTCTCCAGCGACTGGTCTCTCCTGACAATATGTCCAAAGTATGAGAGACGGAGTTTGGCCATCCTGGCCTCCAAACTTAGGATGTATATAATTAAAAAAAAAAAAATCTAGCTGAGCTAAATAAAAGGACACTAACTACTAGTACAATTAGGATGTATATAATAATAATAATAATAAAAACCAAAGGCGTTTAATTGTAGCAGAGCATCTAGTTTAAGGTTTGACTTTTATTTGATAAACATTTAACAATTACATCACCTGCTGGTCATTAAGGTTCCCCTGTACTAAGGAGTCAATGAAAATATGTTGACTGAAGTTCTTTCCTTTTCGTTCTTTAATAACTTTCTTTAAAATAGATTCCAGTTGCTTGATGGCTCAGAGGAAAAAAAAAAAATTATAATATAAGCATTTATGAAGACTGAACTTATTTCAAAAATTCTTTACAATTTCACTACATGTAGAATAAAATGTCCAAAAGTAAATCAGTGGTAACTAACAATAAAGCTAATTTAAACTCACTTCCTTTTCAGGTTTCTTTATGTTAATATAACATATATACAAAAAAAAAAAAAAAGTACAACAAACTTTATGGAATGTTAAAACATAGTTTAAGGAATAATTTTAAAGCATTATAAAGAGAAAGAAGTTGAACAACACCTACATCCAAGAAACCTTCACATACATACGCCCTGTTTGGTTTTGGTTTTATGCACTATCCTTCTAATTCTGTCAATAAACACTGGACTGCAAACCACAAGGTCCCCAGTTCAAGCCCACTGGCCACTCCATGGGAGAAAGATGAAGCATTCTGCTCCCAGAGAGATTTTAAAAGCCTCAGAAACCCTATAAAGGGTTGCTATAAGTCAGAACTGACTCGATGGCACTTAACAACCAATAACTCCATTCTTCTCCCAGATCAGATGCACTTTAGAGGCAGAAACAGATGATGTAGAAATAACTTCCAAATTCAAATTTCCAGTTAGGACCTTTCTCTCCTGAACTCTCATATATTTAATAACCAACTCAGCATCTCCACTTAAATATCTAAAGCATATTAAACATAACATACATATATGGCAGCTTAAGATCAGAGGCACTTGGTGTGTGTGAATAGAGCAGTCTAAGCAGAGCTTTAACTCTATTTTAAACTCTTGACATGAGTCTAGAATCCATGTTAAATTTTAAAAGTTGTTAGTTCCTCTGATTTTGATAGTGACCTAATCATATAGCTAAAGAAAGTATTCCTTTTCTATGAGATCTGGCAGGTGTAGGATATCACAATTTATTTCCTGAGGGTCTTTCCACTATAGCCACACAGATGCAAGACACCATAGCTTATACCCTAAGAGTCTTGATGCACAACATTATAATAGTCCCCCAAGAAGTGACACTATTGAGAAAGCAATTTCACTAAAATGTTACCAGAAAAACCTGTCCTGCCACTGTCTTACCACTGTCCTACCAATCATGTAACTGCATTTATATGCTATCCACCTATCCCTGCTAAATCCCTGCTTCTAGCTATCCTGCCCTTGTCTTCCAGCTGTTTGTTAGTCAATTATGATTTTGTAACTTTTTCAAAAACACTTTTTATTATGAATGGAGTGAAGGTTTACAGGCAAGATGCTTTACATTCAACAAATCATACACTATTTCATCTCAATGATTATATTCCCCTCCACGCACCAACAGTTATCCTGCTTCCTCCATGGGTGCCTATCTGCATTCCACCCTCCTTCCTAGCCATTCTCAACTTTGTCCTTAGGAAAATGGTGCCCTTTTGATTTGGAATGATTGACCATTCCATGGTGAGCATACCTTACTAGTGTTGTTTTCCCCTGCTTTATATCTTTGTATCTACTTATGCAGACTTTATGCTTTATATCTACTGCTTGGGTGAAACTTGGGTCACCAGGGTAAGTTCCTTTCCAGACCTAAAGGATGACTGAGGACTGCAGACTCAGGTTCCTCCAGTAACTTTCTGACCAGTAAATCTGGCCTTTAAAAAAAAAATTTAATCAAATAATTTTGAGTTTTGTTCTACATTTTCTCCCGCTTTATTTAGGATCCTCTACTGTGATCCCTTATCAGGGCAATTAGTAGTGGTACCTGGGCACTGTCTAGTTCTTTTGATCTCAGAGTCATGGGGACTGGTATTCACATGTTCCATTAGTCTATTGGACTAACTGATTCTAAGCAGCTTCAATTCTTATCATTCCTCTTTCTTCTGCACATGGAGAAACCAATAGCTTAGATGGCTGCTCAAGAGCTTTCAAGATCCCAGATGGTACTCACCCAAGTAGGATGTAGAACATTGTCTTTGTGGACCATGTTATGCCATTTGACCATGGTGTGTCCCTTAAGACTACGGTCCTGAGGCCCCAGATCCATAAACTCATTGCCTGAGAATGTGTGACAATATCTAGGAAGTTTTCATTCAGTAGCTCACTGTATGCTGTACCTCATTTATAGCTGTGTATGCAGGGCAAGTGAAAACTCATGTACAAATATCCTCTTTCAAACTCATATATTTGTGGAATATATAGGTCTGTGTTAGAATTACATGTAAGAAATACTTTTTAGACATTACTTGCTTATTCATACACAATGCAAATAAGAAACAATGCTTCTGAGTTTCAAAAAGTGATAGACCCAAGCCTCAAAATATGAAAAAATAAGAGCTGCTGAAAATTTCCATGCTTTTTCTTTTTTAGAGATATATTTTTCCCTAAAAAACAAATAAATGGTACCATGGTTTCCAAACCTGAGATTCCAGATGGCCTTTGATTTTATAGTTATCTCTATTCTTTGAACACAAACTTAGCAAAGTAAAAATTAATCTATTTTTAACCTACATTTTCCTCATTGTGAGTAATTTCATTAATAAATTTATCAGTTATAAGGTAAATATAAGTTAGAACCATACTGAATATTGTTTCAAAACCACTAAAATATCTAATAAATTTGAAGAATTCTGGAAACACTACAAGAAAAAATTGACAAAATACATGAAAAGTTGGAAACCATATAAAAACAGCAGTTAGAAAGCCAGAAGATACATACCAAAACTTCAGAAATAGATAATACATTGAAAGGACAAAGAAATAGAACTGAATCAATGGAAGGCCAAATTAGTGAGCTTGAAGACAAATTTCTAAATATTCATCTGCAAATATATTACCTATTTCAGAAAAAGAAGGAAAAAATCTGAAGAAAGCCTAACAATTAGTGGGATAATCAAGAGGAATAACTTATATGTGACTAGAATTTCAGAACGCGACAATGAAAGAGAGAGAAAACTGCTGAGCAGTTAACTATAAGATAACTTCCCTACCACCATGAGAGATAAGAAGATGTTCATTCAAGAAGCTGAATAGCACCCCTCCCCCCAAAAAAATCACTAAGACATATTGTAATTAAACTTTTCAAAACCAAAGACAAAGAAAGAAACTTTTCAAAACCTTAGAGACACTCAGTAAAAATGACAAGTTATCTTCAAAGGAAAACTATTAAGACTCAGTTCTGATTTCTCAGCAGAAACCATGCAGGTAAGAAAACAATGAGATGACATAGAAAAATTGTCCATCAAATACATCAAATATGACAACTAAATTAGGACATTTCCATGTAAACAAAAATTAAAAGAATTTGTGATTACCAGGCCAATCTCACAAAAAATACTAAAGGGAGTTATTTGGACAGAGAAACCACCATCAGAGATTAACATACATGATAATATCACCCAAAACTAAACCTAGATACAGAAATACTTAAAGTAAAACTTCTGAAAACAGGGAATGAGGTAAAACCAAGCCTTAGTCCTAGTCCTGGCCCAATCCCTACCCTAAAACTAACCTTACCCACCTTAGCACTAACCCTGTCCTAACCAAAATCTTAACACTAAGCAAAGTCCTAGGCCTAGACTTGACCTACCCATAGTCCTAACAAAACAAAACAAAAAAATGTAGTGTCCAATTGCTTTTTCAGGCTTGTACCTTTATACTTTTCATTAGCCTTAAATGGATATAGTGGCTTTACAGCACCTTCATTCGGCAGAGAGTGCTTGAGTTTCTTTTACTAACTTACAACTTTTTTCTCTCTTTTTTGTTGTTGCTGTTAGATGCCACTGAGTTCTGACTCATAATGACCCTATGTAATGACTCACAGTGACAAGAGAAAACACTGCCCGGTCCTAAGGCATCCTTACACTTGTTGTTACGCTTGAGCCCACTGTTGCTGTTACTGTGCCAATCCATCTCATTGGGGGTCTTCCTTCTTTTCAATGACCCTCCACTTTAAAAATCTACACTGTATAAAACATAGGGGGAGACCCACAAATAAACTGTAATCCCATTATTCAGCGATAATGGTTAAAAATTAGTTACATACACTTTGTTGTTGTTATTAAGTACTATCGAGTCAGCTCTAATTCATAGCAACCCTATACAGGGTTTCCGAGGAGTGGCTGGTAGGTTTGAACTGCTGACCTTGAACAGTCCAGTGCTGATCCTATAGCACTTTATACATGTTAGTCCTCAGAAAAAATTGAGTGATCAAACTTACCATCTTCATATTGTTTCTTGCGAGTTGTAGTTTTATCAAGTGACCCATCTAGAAAGCCTTTCCCAATCTCAGACCAAACCTGAAAAAAATGCATTAAGTAGATTTTCTAAATAACAGGGTAGCTGAGGAATTCCTTTATCAAGATCTGATCATTAATCTCTCCTTTTTAAGTGACCCACACAGTCATTTACTCCATATGCTCTGAGAATAGGCTATAAATACATTTTAATGATTTCAAACACAACACCCTTCAAATTAATTATAGCTGGAAAGTAAAAAGGTATTTTTATTTAAAGAAATAAAGGATGGGAAGGTGGGAGGAAAGATATGGCAATAGAATGAATTTTTTATTATAATGGTGCCAGTACACAGGTAAAATTCACAGATAATTTCAAATTTTTATTTTACCTAAAATTGGTTGAGGTCCAAAAAGAGGTTAAAAATTAATGTAAGGTTTAAAAACAATAGCAGCAGGGGGGGTGGGAAATGACACTGATCATAATTTGAAAGTTTTGAAACAACAAAATCATGGTGAAAGAACCTAAGACATATTAGTCAATTGATAAATACTTGCAAAATTCTTAATATTACTTTTATAGCATATTGCTTAGAATTAAAAGGAAATTTTGTCATATATATTTTACATTTCAAAAATTGCTTTAAGAAAGAAATTGCTTAAGAATGTTTCAAAGGCTACGGTTAATTTTGCTTGCATTGTTCCATTTAGCACAAAACATGAAAATTCCTACATAGGTAACCCCTGATTTATAACATATTCAAGTTACAATGATCTTTTATATGTGTATATCTTATTGTTAATAATATGTATTAAAATGTCTGTAAGTTTCCAACCACCAAAGATAAATATAGGTGAGATTTACAAATACTGATAATAAAAGTCAATAATAAGGAAACAACGAGTTATTATACTTGCCACAACCAATTTACAATGGTGTCATCACAACAGAACCCCATCCTAAGTCAGACACAACCTATACTATAGAATCTTAAACTTTCTACATTAGTGACAAAGTCTGTATCACATCAATTCTCCAATTTGATGAAAGAATACTTTTAAATTTGGCCCTAGATTTACCGTGCCATGACTCTTCTGGAAGCGAATGACTTCCTGATCATCTTCAAAGGTACTACCCATTATCATCTGTGTGACAGACTTCATAGCAAAACCAAGCATATGCTGGCAAAGGGGAACATGCTGGGACTCCGGATAGGAGAGCCATTTATCTAATAATTCTTCTGAGAGCTGAAACAGAACAGAGAACCACAATGATTTACTACTATCTCATCTTGCTAAATCTTAGAAAAACTCAGCACGTAACAAAAATTTCTCAGAGTCTCCCTGTCATTCTTTCACTCACCAAATATTTATTATGTCTCTTGTAAAATTAAAGCAGTGTGGAAAAGATCACAAGTTTTTTGAAGTTATAAAACCTTGTTTTTACTTCTATTTCTTTCACTTAGAGGTATTATGACTTTAAGCAATTTGTTCACTAACTTTCAGAGATCCAAGTGCCTCATCAAAGTTTTCTTATCTCAGAAAACACTATTTTCTTAATAAGCACAGAATTTTTGTCTCAAAATAATTCTAGGAAAAATAACGTTATTGGCAATCTCAGCTGTCTCAAGTGCATACACAGAAAAGCTTTAAAGTTTTTTTTTGCCAAAAGCAATTAAAGTATTGGTCACAGTAGCAGTGGAATGATGTATTTAAAGCATTGAAAGAAAAAACCCAAACTTATCAACCAAGAATTTTGTATCTGGTAAAACTATCCTTCAAATAGGAAGGAAAAATTAAGACTTTCAGCTAAACAAAAAAATGGGAAGTTTCTTACTAGTAGACCTGCACTACAAGAAATGCCAAAAGCAATGTTCAGTAGTATTGCACTTTTGATTTTACAGTCCTTTTTGTTCCTGTATGATTTAAAATTTATAACTTTATAAGGACACATTAATGGGCAGACCTACCAAGTTGTGACTGACAATATAAAGATGGGGATGGAGGATACAAGAGCAGACTTTAGGGATATTATTGAAACTAAGTTGGCATTAATTCAAATTAGATTGTTATAAACTTAAAATGTGAATTGCAATTTCTAGTTAATCACTGAGATAAAAAAATGTTTAATTACAGAAAGAAATGAAAAGGGAAACAAAATGGTGTATTAGAAAAAAAATCAATCACAAAAGAAAGCAATAATGATGGAATTGAGGACCCAAAAAGGTATAAAACATATAGTCCTTTACTGTTTATTAGTAATTACTTCAAATGTAAATGGATTACATGTTCTAGTTAAAAGGCACAAATAGGCAGAATGCATTAAAAAAACAAACAAGTAGTATGTCTCTAAGAGACTCATTTTTTATTAAAAGATGCAAACAGGTTGAAAGCAAAAGGATGGAAATGAATAATCACTACAAACAGTAACCAAAAGAAAGCTGGGGTGGGCAATAAAAAAGTCAGAAAAAACCAGCCAAGTCAAAACTTGTTACAAGATATAAAGAAGGACATTGATATTGATAAAGGGTTCAATCCATCAAGAAGATATAACAATTACAAACATATACTCACTCAACAAGAGTTCCAAATACATGATGTGACTGACTAGTAACAGAGTGGACCTGGAGAGGCAAACAGTGCCACCATAGTAGTGAGAGATTCAAGTACCCTACTTCAACTAATGTTAAAGGAGTCCTGGTGTGGTGCTACAGGTTAATGCACTGGACTACCAGGTTGGTTTGAACCACAGGGTCAGCAGTTCAAGCTCACCAGTTGCTCCTGGGAAACCCTTTATGAATCAGAACCTACTCGACAGCACTTCACAACAACAACACTTTAATGAATTAGAGGATTAAAATGAAACAGAATAACTGAATACATAATTAGAACTAACAGAAAACTAAGCAACATTGCAACCATCAACAGAATTCATCTTCTTCTCAAGTGGCTCTGGAATATTCTGCAGCAGAAACCACATTAGACCACAGAAGAAGTCTCAATAAATTTTAAAACACTAAAAATATACCAAGTATCTTCTCTGACCACATAGGAACGAAAGTAAAAGTTGTAACAGAAGGAAACGTGGAAAATTGACATGTATGTGGAAGCTGGGTTTGGGTAGCATGGCAGTACTAGAATAAGGTGAAGATCTGGAGTACTCTTTGGGGAACACAGAACTGTCAGAGAGTTCACAGTTCAGTTAACAATCTGAACAAAAAGGAAAAGCAGCTATCTGGTATGGATTAGTATTATTGTTCCCAAACTTCGTAACTCATTTGGAGAATTTCTTTAAAATGTCAGGTTCTCTTTTCCTGAGATTATGTTTCAGTGACTGACAGCCCAGGTATCTGCATTTTCAACAACAGGGTTAATTTCAAGTGGGAAAAATTGGTTTAGTCTGGTCTGAAAACAAAAGACAAATAACTGATATAGCAAACTTCTTCAGGCTCTATCCACCCCCACACCATTCCTTTGAAATCTAGGTTTTTTAATTTGGGGGTGTGTTTTTCTTTTTTTGTGGGTATTTTTTGTTTGTCTGAGTTTTTTTTTTTGTTTTCTTATTTTAGAATTTCAAGACAATACGTCAGCTTAGAGAGCGCTAACAAAAGAGCACCATGATAATTATGGTTTTGTGTCCATTTGTTGGGACAAGGATTCTCAGCAATGTGCAAGTTAAGATGTCCTGGTGGTGTTCTATGAAAACCACTGGACCGCAAGGTCAGTTTGAACCACAAGGTCCGTGGTTCAAGTCCACAAGCCACTCCTTGGAGATCCTATATAGGTTGCTGAGTTAGAACTGATTCGATGGCACTTTAACAACAACAACTATCCCCCCATTCAGAAATCTAATATAATGTATCAACTCCAATGATGAAATTTCCTCAGGGGTATGGTCTGCTTTCAATATACTAGACATAGACAAAGCTTGCTGGCTTTCTTCTGGCTCTAGATCCTACCATCTGGCTCATTATCCAGACTTGAGCCAGTGACCTCCTCTACTGGGAGTTGTCAGCTGTCTGCCATTTTGCCTGCCCTAGCCTGACTGCCACCTGACCTGCCAATCTTGGTTCATTTGACCCACAGACTTGGGACTTTGCCCACCTCTACAACTATGTGAGCCATTTCCTTGATATAGACTTCTTGTTGTTGTTTTTGTAAAGTGCCAAGAGTCAGTTCCAACTTATAGCAACCATGTATAGGGTTTCCAAGGCTGTAAATCCTTGTGGGAGCAGAAAGCCTCATCTCTTTATATATATACATATATAAGCTTCACTGTGTTTGCTTCTCTAGAGAACCTAAGTATCAACAAGGAGTGTCTGGGTCTTAAAAGTTTGGTAGTGGCCATCTAAGATACAACCATTAGCCTCTACTCATCTGGAACAAAAAATAATGAAGGAAATGAAAGCCTCAAAGAAGAAATTCGTCCACTGGACTATTAACCCACATAAATCTCTTCTAACCTGAGACCAGAAGAACTAAATGGTGCCTGCTTACAACTAACTACTGACAATTTTGATCGGGGACACAACAGAAGGTTCTGGACAGAACAGCAGAAATATGTAGAACAAATTCAAATTCTCTGAAAAAAAAAAAAAAAGATTTACTGGGCTGAGAGACTCAAGGAACCCCTGAGGCTATGGTCCTAAAATACAAGGCAGCTTCAGAAAGTTTTAGTTTTTTTTTTCTTAAATTTCTGAAGCCCCTCATATTCTTTGAACCTGGAATTAAAGCCACTCCTAGAGTTTTGCTTTCAGCCAAATTAACAGATTGGTTATAAAATAAATATCACCTGTGAAAATTGTGCTCCCTTAACAAGCATCTATATGAGACTAACTGATCAGCAATCACCCAAAAGCAAAGGCAAGAAGGCAAGGAGGGAAAGAGAAGCTAAATCAAAAGAAAAAGAAAACTAGAATGGAAATAGTGAGAATGCTGGCAAATTGTGAAAACGAACCTTAAGGTCAGTGGTTCGAAACTACCAGCCGCTCCGCGGGAGAAAGATGAGGCTTTCTACTCCCGTAAGGATTTACACCCTCAGAAACCCTGTACAGGGTCGCTATGGGTCGGCTCCGACTCGAAGGCACTTAACAACAACAACAACAATGTCACTGTACAAATTATATAAGAATTTTTTTAATGGAACCCAATTTGCTATGTAAATTTTCACAGAAGACACAATAAAATATATATTTTTAAATAGATTAGAGGCAGGATAAGCCAATAGTCAAACAGTATGTTATCTGTATAGTACAGTAGTACTCAGCTACCTTACCTTTAGCAAGAGAGGAAAATTACTCTGCAGACAGTTAGTAACACCATTTTCATATAATTTTTTCCTCATATGGTTTTCACTTGCATCCCCGCCACCCGACTGATACTTCAATAATGACTTCAGCATAGTGTCAAAAGGGTCCACTGAAACAGATAAATTAAATATTTCTAAGTGAACAATAAAAATAATATTAACACCCAACCCCTTACAAAAAATAACAATAAAATCGCTCCAGGAAGAAATTAAAGCGATCACGTCAATTTTACAATCCCTTAACTGTCTTTCCTAAAAAGAAACAGCCAAGAGGCAATAAAAATCGGCAGAAACGCAACATTCTGACTAAAAACTCCACTGTAAGTCATTAAGACTTTCATCAATTTTCTATTTACATGACTTTTGATTAACAACAAAATAAAAACTCCCATTCTACTGATTTTAAAACAAAATGGGTACATTTATGTGTGATCACTATTACAGCATTTTTATTACCTCATTTTTTTTTGTTTCTTTAATGATTACATTGCTTTCGTCAAAAAAGTGTATGTTCATCATAAATAACTTAAACAATGCAAGAAAGTATGAAAAAAAATAATCCACTTCAACACAGAGAAACTCATTTTTAACATATTACAAACTTAAAATCTCATTTTTATTTGTACCTGTTGATTATTAAAACCAATAGTGAGTCTAGGGTTTCCAAGGCTGTAAATCATTACAGGAGGAGAAAGCCTCATCTTTCTCCTGAGGAGTGCTTACGGGTTTGAAGCGCCAGCTTTTTGGTTAGCAGTCCAGTGCTTATCCTACAGTGCCACAGCTGATTACTAGTGAAGTTAAAAATCTTTTGTTTATTGGCCATTTTTGTTTCTTCTTTCTTGAATTACCTTGTTTTTTGCCCATTTATCTAAAGGGCGTTTCATTTTTGTTTTCTGATTAGATTATGTGTGTGTGTTTCTATTTATGTTTTTGTTGTTAAGTGTTGTCATCAGTTCCAACTCATAATGACCCTGCATAGGGTTTCCAAGGAGTGTGTGGGTTTAAATCACAAACCTTCTGATTTGAAATCCAGTGCTTACACCACTATTTTTCTTTTAAAAATTTTCATAGTGTCTTTTTTCCTTTACTGAAACTAAACATTATTTAAGGCTATCACTTGTTTCTTAGGCCTGTGTGGCCAATATTGTCCCATTTCTCATCCTTTTTTCAGGTGCTTTTTACTGTACTGAAAATTTTAATTTTTATGTATATCAATTTGTCCATCTTGTGCTTTATGACTTTTAGATCTTATATCAAGATAAGAAAGGGCTTGTTAAGTGCCATCGAGTCACTTCCAAATCATAGTGACGCTGTATAGGGTTTCCAAGGAGTCTGAACTGTCCACCTTGTGGTTCAAACCAACTTTGCAGTCCTGCACATTAACCCACAGCACCAAACTAGGAGTCTAAGACAGGGTTTATATACCTCCAAATTTAGAATACTTAACCATGTATCTTTATGGCTTTATACTTTAATCATTTCAAATTCCTTTTTATATAGGAGGGAATTCAAAATGTTCATAGAAAACAGAATTAAAAGACAATGGAATTGTTCCACAAACTTTTTGAAGTCCCCTTGCATGGTAAAGATAACACTTTATGCTAAAGGGGAAAGGTAATAAATGGTTTTGGGAAAACTAGTTACATTGGAAAAAATAAATCTCAATCCCTGCCTTATTCTTTTCAAGAGGACTTCAAAAAGTATGTAGGAAAATTCCATTATCTTTTAATTCCACTTTTCCACAGACTTTTTGAAGCCTCCTCACATATACATACTTGGTTTGTCTTCTGGGCTACCTATTCTACTCCACAGTGTATCTAGTACTGCTACAGTACAAGGATCTTCCAATTACTCTAGCTTTCTGATATATCTTATTGTTGTTGTTGGTTAGTGCCATCGAGTCGGTTCTGACCCACAGCAATCCTGTACAGGGTTTTCCAAGGAGCAGCTGGTGAGCTTGAACTGCTGACCTTGCAGTTCAAACATCTTTGCAGTCTGATGCATTAACTCACAGCGCCACCTTATGGTACAAGTATTCTCCTTGTTATTATTTTGGCTTTTCCTGGTTGTTCATACACTTATACTTTTCAAGATTTACTTTGGAACTATTTTTCAGTTTCCAAACAAATATCGTATTGGAATTTGCATTAGTAATTTATTACAAACCTAAAAATTGTAGGAAAAAAATAATAATTTTATAGTATTTTGTCTTGAATGAGGTAATGACTATTATAAAGACTTGAGCACAATGCCTGTCACATAGTGTAAGAGATTCAGTAAGTTAGTTACTCCTATCTACCACCATCCACCTCTCACTTTGTTGTACTGTAACGGTTTGTTACTATGAAGCTACAAACTAGGCCACCAGGATTTCATACACCAGCAGGTTACCCAACAGTGGAGGGGTTTCGGTAGACCCTTCAGACTGAGACAGACTAAGAATTAAAGTCTGGTAATCTACTTCTAAAAATTAGCCAATGAGAACCTTTTAGAGCAAAACAGAACACTGTCTTACTCATTTGCTTTGGACACATCATCACGAGAGATCAATCACTAGAAGAGGTAACAAAGTTTGGTGACCAGAGGGCCAATGGGGACATGGGATACTCTTGGCAAGATGAATTAGCACAATGCCCTCAAAAATGGACTCAGACATGCCAGAGATGGTAAGGATGATGCAGGACCAGGTGGCATTTTGTTCTTTTGTACATAAAGTCAACCAGAGTCAAAGCTAACTCTATGTCAATTAACACAAACATTCCTATATAAGTACAATATACAGGTCTTCATTTATTAGATATTTGTTCTTAAGAGATAAAGATCAGAGGAGGGGAGTGATTGACTTTGCAGTCCAGGAACGGAGGTCCCTGGGACCATCAAGGGAGAAGAGTGGAGTGCGAGACTCTACCCAGAGAAACAGTGATGCCAGAGATGGAGGCAGAGATGATGATGTGGAGAGATGGAGCGGCTGGGGACTCTAGACCCAGAGAGGGAGACGGGCTGTATGCTGATGACCAGGGGGCAGGCTTGCAGGGTATATCCTTTGGTTGGCTGATGATGCATGGAGGGGATTGTAACCATGGTAATGAAACAATATACGATAGGATGAATGTAAAGCTAATGTTCTCCCATGTAAACTATCACATAATTCACAATGAAACATTAAAAAAAAAAAAAAAGATCAGGTAATTAGAAAAAAAATTAAACTTACATGTCTTATTGGGGTTAATATGCTGCTTCAGTACTTCAACAGTGCCCAAGCTAACCACAAGGTGCCTGCCAAACCAGAAAGAGACCACAGACCCGTATCTCTCATGCATATTAACGAGGAACTCATGCAAACTTCCACTGTTGACAATATCTGGAAGGTTACCATCTCTGAGAAAAGACCATCATTTGACAAAATAATTAATTTCACATGGAAAAATCACAAAACCAATAGTTGATTCTGAATTAACTGTCAATAGATGAGAGCCAAGGTACATGAAATACAAATCACTACAAAATCCAAAACTCAAATGATATTTTACTTTTCACTGTTTCTGTAATTATATAGTGAGATCTGCATTTGTCTGATGTCTTGAAAACTGGTAACACTTGAAACAAAATTTAAAAACTACACAAGGAATATCTGAGTGAAAAACTGGAACACTTATCCAATTTTTGCAGCACCTCCTCCTAAAATAGTGATGGGCATCATAAACCAAACCCCTACTGCCATCAAGTTGATTCTGACTTAGAGCAACCCAAAAGGACAAAGTGGATGGCCCCCATAGGGTTTCCTAGTCTGTAATCTTTACAGAAACATACTGCCACATCTTTCTCCTACAGAGAGGTTGGTAAGTTAGAACCACAGTTTTAGGACTAGCAGCTGAACTCCTAACCACTGTGTCACCAAATAAAAAGCTACAAGAGGAACATCTGACTCAGAAACTGGGAAATTACCCAACTTTTACAGGACCTCATTCTAAAATATTGATGGATATCACAAGCTGGTAAAATCATCAGATCAGCTATGGCATTTTTTTCTTATCTTTGTCCTGTCTCTCTATCTTCTATTTTCTCTGACTAAAGAAAATGAAAGCAATTAAAGGGTCTGATTTATACCATCCTCCTTTGTTTTAAATAAAGTTTAGGTTGCATGCCCAGAGGTAAAATTAGAGTAAATAAAGACATTAAATAAACTGAGTAATCAACAATATGGCTCAGTTTGGATACTGAAAAGGAAGGATTGGCTTTACTTGATTCTGAACTCCTGGTATGGTGCTGTAGGATCAGTACCGGACTGCGAACCACAAGGTCGGCAGTTCTAACCCACCAACTGCTCTTTGGAAGTCCTATATATAGTAGGGTCACTATGGCACTTAGCAACAACAAAGAAACAATTGCTCACTTTTCTTCAGTTGGAGTAATCCCCGGGATCCCTGAAGCTTGTCTTGAAGCCTTAAGGAAAAATAAAAATAGTTTATTATAATTATCTAACAAGTCAAATGTATTTTCCCAAGACACCAATATCCACTGCTATTGAGGCAAGACAGCCTCATAGTGACCCTGGATAGGATTTCCAAGGCTGTAAAATCTTTACAAAGCAAAGAGCCTCATCTCTGTCTCGAGGAGTCACGACTCAATGGCACCTAATAACAATAACAGCAGAATAGAGAGATTTTTCCGATAAGCAGTGTCATAAAATTTATTTTCCATTCACACTTTCTTAGCACATGAAGAATGATGTACTACAGCAAATAAAGGAAGTGAAGGGGAAAAGAAGAGAAAAGAAACACTTGGCATTCAGGAACTATGGAGCCCAACACAGCTGAAAAGAGTGAAGAACCGCAGTGCAGCAGAGCTGAGAGTGACCAGTACTTACCCAGGAGACAGAATGATGGTGGTGTCACAAAGGCCACCCTCAGGGACATAAACGCACAACTGATATGCCTGAATATCTGGACAATGTCAAGGAGTAGTGTTAAGACAGAAATGCTCAACTATTTGGAAAAAACAACTGATAGGCAAGAGCAAGGAGATCCTTGTAGTTACTGAGTGCTATCGAGTCAGTTCTGACTCAGAGCAAGCCTGTATAGGATTTCCGAGGAGCAGCTGGTGGGTTTGAACCACCAACCTTGTCATTAGCAGTCCAGTGTTTACCCTACAGTGCCATGCCAGGACTCCAAATACATTCTAACACTGTACCACTGTGCAAATGCACAGGGCAACCTGACCTGTTCCCCAGCTTCTACAATTCCATCAGAAGACATGAAAAGGAAGTCTCAGGAGTCTATGTACTCTGGGTAAATTGGGTTCAACATCAACCTCCACATTTCTATCAAAAGTCATGAACAGTAAGCCTCAGAAGGCAAAGTAAAAATTCTCTTCTGCACTTTGTTGCATCCAGATTTCCCAACTAGCTGAAATGATGTTGTTGCTGTTGTTATGTGCTGTGGAGTCGGTTCCGACTCAGCGACCCTGCACAGGGTTTCCGAGGCTGTAAATCTTTACAGGAGCAGAAAGTCTCATCTTTCTCCCATGGAACAGCTGGTAGTTTTGAACTGCTGACCTTGTAGTTCACAGCCCGATTCGTAACCACTACGCTACCAGAGCTCCCTAACTGAAATGATGAGGGGAGTCCAAAATGTACCATGCACCTGGTAAGACCCTGAAAAGCTTCCATCTCCCCAATAACCACAGCCATCCCATTACCACTTGGCTTGAGCCCATCTAAAATAATCTTTTTATGATGACCTTTTCTTATTACTTGTTGTTGTTGTTGTTAAGTGCTGTCAAGTTGGTTCTGTCCCATAGCGACCCTGTATAGGGTTTCCGAGGAAGGACTGGTGAGTTTGAACCGCTGACCTTGCAGTTCAAACAGCTTTGCAATCTGGCGCATTAACCCACAGCGCCACACCAGGACTCCTTATTACTTAAACACCAAAAAAAACCCCACAGGACTCCCATCCCAGGAGGGAGACTTGGTAGCACAGTGGATTATGAGCTGGGCTACTAATTGCAAAGTCAGCAGTTCGAACCTACCAACCACTACATGAGAGAAAGATGAGGCTTTCTGCTCTTGTAAAGATTTACAGCCTCGGAACCCTGTACAGGGTCACTATGAGTGTAAATGACTCGGTGGCATACAACTACCACCACCCATTCCCAGGACTTCCCTAATTCCCTAGTCTCTTATTTCTACAGGCTATAGAAGGAAGGCCATCCTTCTTCCGGACCCTATCTCCAATCTCTGCCCCGCTCAACATATCCCCTTCCTCAGTCACTTTATTCCCATGGTGGCACACTAGAACCTGACCAACACCAAATGTAAAGACAAAACTTCCAGAATTTAATAGCCAAATCTCTAACTATTGCCTACCTTTTCCTCTCATTGTTCTAATATTCTGACTCTGAAACTGTAACTCATAGGGAAATAATGTTAAGATGCTTGGCTGTCTTTTGAATCTTGGTTTCCCTGGTATACCATTACAAAATAGACACTTGATAGGGAGAGAAAGGAATAGCCAGAAATACCACCATAGAAAGCATGTAAGTCCATCTTCTGCCTATAACTGATTGGAATACCTAAAATGGGACTACAATGTGTCCAGTGAAGGAGGCTTCCTGCGGTGCCTCTGCGTTACATAAGACCATAGGTGGAATCCTGAACTTCTTCTGAGGTGGGAAATTTCCACTGGAAAGGACAAGCAGACCAGCCTGGAGCAGCTAGAAGAACAGATGATACTTCTTGAAAGAAAGACCAACAGGAAAAATACAAGAACAGTTTGACTGACTACTACAAGAACAATCAAGTTGCTTGCCCAGGAGACATCAAGGTAAGCAGTCGGGTCCCCTCAGGGTAAATCCCATCCCAAGACTTAGACTCAATGGGAATACACGAGCAGACACGTGCTCTGACTGGTGACCACGTTGGTTAGCGATAAGGGGAAGTGAGGGAAAAACAGCAATGAAGCTGCGAGCTAAGTCCAACCACGTTCAATATACTCCTGTTGAACCTGGGTTGACCACCAGTTTGGCAAGACCTGGGGACTCCTGGGCCCAAGGTCAGTGACATAGCCACAGAGAACTAGAATGGACAGTGAAGCATCCAGCTGATAATAAGAGAGGGCATAGGCACAAGAATACCCACATTTGCAGATAATACCCACTTGACCTGGCTTCAATGACTGGATGATCAGAGCCCAACTAGAAAAAGAAAGAAGAGGGAAAAAAGTGTAATCTTATACAATTTGATGAACTTGACCTACACCTATGGATGCAGTAACTCAAAAGAGGGAACAAATCTTTATAGCGAGGATCATTTGTACCCCCTCAATACACAGAGTAGACAGGGATGGGCAACTTGGACATTGGCTACCCAAAATGGGGGTGCTACCAAAGCAAGAAGTGACTAGCTTACTAGCTTTCAAGAGGAAGCCTAGATCCAGAAGGCGCGGAGGAAGGTAGAATCTCCACTGAGTAGTATCCAATCTGTCTGGGCAGGACTGATGAAAGGAAATGTGTTTAGCACTCATGTGGCACAACAGTGAATAATTAGTATCAGGACTGACTGTGAGGGTTGGAAATGTAAAGGTAGACGTTTTGTAGCAAAAGGAGGGGAGTGACTGACTTTGTAGTCCAGGAACGGAGGGCCCTGGGATCATCAAGGGAGAAGAGCGGAGAGCAGGACCCTACCCAGAGAGGCAGTGACGCCAGAGATGGAGGCAGAGATGATGACGTGGAGAGATGGAGCGGCTAGGGACTTTAGACCCAGAGAGGGAGAGGGCTGTATGCTCACGACCGGGGGCAGGCTTGCAAGGTATACCCTTTGGTTGGTTGATGATGCATGGAGGGGATTGTAACCATGGCAATGTAACGATATAAAATAGGATGAATATAAAGCTAATGTTCTCCCATGTAAACTATCACATAATTCACAATAAAACATTTAAACAAACAAACAAACAAACAACTGTAACTCAGATTCATTAGATGCTGTCAATGTGCCCTTAAACCCATAGAGCTGAACACCGCTGAAGAACAAAGCCAAAGAGAAACACAGCCATGCTGACTTTAAATTGCTAACCGTGAAGAAGGAATGTAGCCTGGAAATTACACATTTCCTTAATCCAGTCATTCTTCTAATCTTCTGGATGACTATTTCACTCACTTCTCTCTCTTTAAATCCCTTGTCCCAAATCCTTCATCCTAAGAGTAACATTGTGTTCTGTACAGTTTTGAGTGTTGAATGTATACTGCCAGGGGCCTTTGGTAGGACTTAAGCATGTAAGTCTTTTGCACCACCCAGGGACTCTTTATCTTCTCTAGAAACTTGAAATTTCCTTCTATTTTATTTAAAGCAATAAAAGTAATCATACTCCCACAATCACTACCTATATTTGTACCCTCAAAACTCCGCCTTCCCTTCTATTACTGTAGATGAACTGCCTATGCTCCAAATGTAATCAATCCCATATTCCACACTTGCACTAAATCTCATCTCCTTCCATCTGCTCAAGAAAATCATCCCAGCAATGCTTTAGATTCGTACGTCATCACTTTTTTCCCTTGACGTGATAGTTCTCTTTAGTATACTAACAGAATTTAATTTCTCCCACCTTGAAAAACTTCCTTCACCTCAATTCACTCCCTAGTCACTAACCCCCTTCACTGCAAAATACACTTGATATCAACAAAGCCACTTTAAGTTTTTGCCATTACAATGAATCTGGTCTTGTAAAGGTGATGGTGGTTGTTAAGTGCCATGCGGTTGGTTCCAAGCATGTTAGATTTGAAGCGCTGACATTAGAGTTATCAGTCAAATGCTTATCCTACAGAGTGACACCGGGGCTCATGTTACTAAATTCAATTAAATCAACTAAAGTTGATTACTTTCTTTTGCTTAAAACACTTGGAGTCCTTCTCTTCTCTTTTGTGGGTCCTCTTCCTCTCCCAAACTTGTAAACATTAGAGTTCCAGGACTTGACCTTTATTTCCCTGGATGACCGTGATTATCCTCCTAGTCATGTTTTAAAAACGTTTTATTGTGAATTGAGTGAAGGCTTACAGACAAGGTCATCAGCTTTACTTTTAACAAATCATACAAATCAACAAAACTTTTGTTTCTTCTCAATTATTACAATCTCCTGAGGCAAAAACAGTTATCCCACTTCCTTCCTGTGGTTCCTATTCGCATTGCACCCACCTTCCCAGCCCTTCTCAACTTTATCCTTAGGAAAATGTTGCCATTTTGATTTTGAATGATTGACCATTCCGTGGTGAGCATGCCTTACTATTGTTGCTGTCCCTTCCCCCTATTAACCTATCTAATGTTTGGCTAGAAGAACCTAGCCCTGCCTCCTCCTACTCTAGATGGGGTGCCTCTGGAGAGAGCACTGGGGATGCCTGCCAAACCCCTCTCTGACCCTCACACCTGGGCTGTGACTCTGTCCATATCC